TCCGAACTTCCCGTGGTTCTTGGATTTGTCGAGAAAATTACCAGAATGACCTTGAAAAATTCCGAAAATGGCACCGAGACCTTAAAATGACTAAGAATACTGCATGTGACTTTTGAAATGTAATTCGAGATAATTCTATAAAAGGTTACATTTTGGCTATACTTAGCAAATTTCTGGAAAATTCTTAGCCAAGGCAACTTGAAGGAGGGAAGCTTGGAAATTGAAAGAATTGCTTCCCATGAGTGTTAAATTTAATGTCGATAGCTAAACGAATCTCAAAGTGGGGTTTACCCTACACCAAATCTGTCTAGAGAGTTATACTTCCCCAAATAAGAAAGTTCTTTTAAAAGCGGAGGAAAAAGAGCTTGAAGATAAAATTTGAAAAAAGGTAATGGAAAGACCTCAACCCACTCTTCATCCTCAATAAAGAACTTTTGATTATGGGGTTGTTTTGGATTTTGGGAAGGTGAATCAAGTAAGGGCACATCAAGCAAAGGTTTGTGAAAGATCATATTTAGCACAGGAATGCCAGAAAAGTTATCCTTCAAACTTTCAATATTCTCCTCACACTTATCTGGTGGTCGGGCTCAACATCTTGAGATAACTCTAGTGAAAGAATGAGAGGAGGTGCAAGCTCCTAAGAGAGAGATACATTTGATGTTGCCGAATGAGGAGAGTGAATGGATGAAGGAATATCGAGCAAATAATTTACCTCCCAAATAGAATTGTCAATATCAAAATCCTCACAATTGAAATGAGCCAAACAAACTTTCAGAGGATCCTCCATTAAAGGAGGTGTATCAAGCAAAGGATTATTTAGGGGCTGTTTTGGATTAGGGGAGACAATCTCTTCATTATTATTTTCCTCATTTTGAACCACAAATTCTTTAATTTTTTGTGTGGCAACAATTTGATCTTCAACCACCATTTCTTCATTTTCACATGTGGTAACCATTTGATCATTCTTATGATGAAAGTTACTAGGAGTAATCTCATCATTTATAGAATTTTCTTTTGGATTGGCTACAAGTTCAATGGGAAATTCTTCTTTCTTTTTATGATTTAGAGTATTAACCATTTGTTGAATTTGGGCTATTTGGTCATCTAGCTCAACTCTAGATTGGGAATGAGAATAGGTGGTGGATTGCATGTTAACAGTGTCATCCAACATTTGCTTGTTGGAATCCATCATTTGTTTGTTGGCAGCAATAAACTCTTCCAATTGAGACAGTGGAAAAAGAGAAGAGAGTTGGAAATAAAGATCATTGGGTTGAAAATTGGCTTGAAAATATTACCCATGAGATTGTGGGACTGAATTTCCCATGACATGCCACAAGAAGTTCTGATGATCTCCCCAACCCGAGTCATAACCATTGAAGTATGGATCATTACCCGGTTTAAAGAAATTTTAAGTTGGTTGCTCTAGATAAAAATCTGAGAATTGTCTTGGTGGAGGACAATCTCTTGTATGATGTGTATGACTAGAGCAAAATTCATAAAACTCATGTGGTGTGTAAAATTGAGTTGGAAGATAATTACCCTCCATCTAGGACTAATTTAGACACTTGTTTAGATACATTAAGATAAATTCACACAAAACAAAATATATACAACACAAAAATGGATGTAAAACTAGAACATCAAACACTTACCCAGAGTCCTTAAGATTTCAAATTTTCAGCTACTCCTTAGCGAGTTTTGAGTTCCTAGGATCACACAGAAACACACAAAACACAAAAACAAAATATGTACACAAAACAAAATATTCACAATCAAACAAAAGGTAATCTTTAAAACCTCGGTCACAAAACCGTTTGTAATCCCTGGCAACGGCGCCAAAAATTGATGGGTCTTGTCGACTATCAATAATAATCAACCTTTGCAATAGCACAAATCATTGTAAAATAGGGCTATTGGACTGGTAAGTCGAACCAGTGGGATTGCTAGTTTATGGCAACCAAGGTTTTTAAATTCACTTTTAGTTTGATGAAAGGGGGATAGAGTTTTGATTGATTTGTCATTAGAGTTAGGAATTAAAATTGCATAAAACAATAATTGCAAGGAATTGAAGGGAGAAAACTAATATAGAGTGGACTTGGGAAGTGAATCCACTACCTACTCTATAAACATGCTACTTGAGATTAACTTGGGGAAACAACATATATATGTGACCATGGAATGCAACAACACAAAATTGCTACATTACCTTCAAGAAATTCATGAAATCAATAGGCAAGAATAATCTATTAAAGATTTACATGCTTAAACTACCTAAACTAGGGTGTAGCCTTAGACATGCTCACTAAGCTAGAGATTATCAAGCCCTTAATCAAATGATAAAAGCACATGAAATCAAGAATCAAGATTAATCCATCAAAGGGAGATCCTAAGCTATGGACTAACAAATTCCTCATAGATCATGCCATTAAAACCATTCTACAATCTCATTTTCATTGTCACAATGAAAATGTAAGCAATACAACCATGAGAACATACACTCTAAGACAAGAATAATAGATTCACCATGATCATTTATACACATTTAAGTTCATTACATCAGTAAGAGTGCTCTAGATTGCAAAACTACCACAAATATACATGATTCCCCAAAATAAACCAAAAATAGAACATACTTACTAGAGAGGGCTTCATCACCTCTTTAGATAGGGAGTTAGTTACCCATAGGAGTAATAGAGGAAGGAGAAAAGTGGATGAGGCCTTCCATTTTTGCACCTTAAGGGTCAAGAACAACCAAACCCCTCAAATTACAATATTTCTCTCTCTAGAAGCTTGCTAAAATGTGAGATGTCAAAAACAATAGCCTCCAAGCCCTTATCTAGCCAAAATAATCTCATTTTCCCTCCATTTTCGTGGCTCACCAACCCTAGGAGAAATCAAGACCACACAAAAGGGGTCAAGGGGACAGCCTTGAAGGAAAATAATGCAGACCATGCTCACATGTCTGTGAAGTGGCAGGCGCTTGCATGCGAAGGGCGGTCGCTCGCGGAAGCTCGAAGATTCTGCCCAAAACGGCGGGCGCCCGCGGGTTCCTTGCAGGCGCCCGCAGTTGTTCCTCAACTCTGCGCACCTTTTGTAAAAAGGCCATAACTCCCTGTTCCAAACTCCAAATGACAAACCGTTTGATGATTTGAAAATATTACTCAAAGATCTAAGTGTATCATGTTTTAATAGAAGTCTAATTCTCAAGTTTGGTGGGTCGAAAATGAAGAACAAAGTCGAACTTCACTGTTGCCAGGCTATAAATTTCAGCATTGCACACCTGGTGTAAAAATGACATAACTCTTTACTCCAAACTCCAAATGACAAACCATTTGATGATTTGGAAAGCTAACTCAAAGATCTAAGTATATAATGTCTTAATAGGAGTCCAATTTTCAAGTGTGGTGGGTCAAAAATGAAGAACAAAATCGAACTTCACTGCTGCCAGGTTGCTTTTGGGCTCGGTCAGCTTTGGCAGGCATCCTCCTTAGCGCTTTTTGCAGGGAAAACATGAGATTCATGGGTCACTGGTTTGGCCAAAGGGAAGGTACCCAGCAATGGCATGCTTTGATTCTTCAAAAACTTAATAAAGCAGCACTTTTAACTATCTTTGGGGCACCAACCTGAAAATGAACAAAAACACGCAAATGAAGCTAATATGTATAATATGATCAACGAATGGACTTAACTAATGCAAATAAAGGCGCTTAAATATGCAATATTTGGCGCTTATCAGTTCATCCACTACATCTTGTACTATAGGTGACCATGTCATTAATCGGACTCTTTTAGATTTAGGGAAAAGCGTGAATCTTCTTCCTTACTCGGTATATGTCCAATTGGGCTTGGGCAATTTAAAGCCAATGTCGGTAGTTTTGCAACTAGCCGACCGATCTCTCAAAAAGCCCCAGGGTATAATTGAGGATGTTTTGATAAAGATTGATAAATTCTTCTTCTCGATTGATTTCGTAGTCGTTGACACAGAACCGGTTCCCAATCCAAAGAGCCAAATACCCGTTATCCTTGGCCGTCCTTTCTTTGCTACCACTAATGCTAACATTAATTGTAGGATGAGCATAATGAAGATTTCTTTTGGCCACATGAAGGTGAGTTGAATATATTCAATCTAACCCCTAATTCAATAGATAAACATGAAGAGATTTTTGTTGTGGAAAAAAGTTTTAAAAGCAAAATTGACAAAAATGAGTTACCTCATTGTGGTGAAAAATCAAATGTTTTGCCTCTGAATCAATGTTCAAAAGATGTTGTCTTAAATTCCAATGTTGAAAGGGCATGGAAGCCCAAAAGTTTCTTTGATCAAAAGCCGTCAAGTGCACTTGAATCAAATCCAACAATTTCCTTAGGGAATGATTTGTTGGGTGGGATTCGAAGTTTAATTCTCCCCATTGAGAAGGGGATATCTAATAAGATTTTTGATTCAGGCTAAAGGAGCCTAACGTCTTGCTGGAGACGTAAACACTAGTATTTCATATGGTTTTCCGACCCTATTCCTCCTTCATTTCTTCTTTTATTCTTTTCTGCATCGTCTAGATATGTTTTGAGCTGATCATTCAATTTTTTGAGTAATTTTCAGCATTTCCTACACTTTCAGTATCATCTTCGATCGATTGAAGATCCCTCTTCGATCGATCGAATTCTGTAGAGGCCCATTTTTGCCTTGGAATTGCTCTCAGGATCTCATCATTTCAATCAATCAAAGTTCTTAAAATCCAACTTTTCATCTTCCATTCTATCAATCGAAGTTGTTTCGATCGATTGAGAAATTCTTTGATCGATCGAACTTATGCCAAATCCTTCCAAATTTCTCCTTTAATGGATCGAAGTAAGTGTTTGATCCATCGAAGACTTCTTCGATCGATCGAGATTACGTCTTTTCAAATTCTAAGAAAACTACTTTGGCCGTTGGCCTTTCCAAAACCCGAATTTTTTATTAATTTTTACCTCTTTTCAAATTCTAAGAAAACTACTTTGGCCGTTGGCCTTTCCAAAACCCGAATTTTTTATTAATTTTTCTCTCTTCCTTCATTTTATTTTTTTATTTTTTTTATTTTTTTCTCTTTCTCTTTCCCTTTCTAACTCTCGGTCTTCATTCTTCTCTTCTATCTCCCCGAATCTCAAACCCTCTCAAAATATCACAAACCCTTTCTCTTAATCTCTCACCTTCTCTCAATCCCCTTCACCAATCTCCCTCTCTCGGAAGCACCAAGACCCCCTTCGTCCACCTCAACCTTCGGCGAATGCCAAAGGAGAGTCCAAGTGCCGCCATCCTCCATAGAATCCGGTGAGAACTCTTGGCCAAGGGCCGAGTTCGTTCACCTATCCTACTTGGATTCCTCTCTATTTTCTCTATCCTTCTCTTCTCTGGCCGATTTGGGCCAAGGAGAAGCCGAATCATTTACAGCGACGGGCGACCCTCTGCGATTTTCGGCGAGGCTCCGGTCGTCGCATCTGGCCACGGTTAGGCCAGAATTCTTTGTTTTATCCCGAATCTCTCTTTTTCCGTCTCCTCTTCTCATTTTTGAGTCGGGTATGTGATTATTCATTCTTTTTTATTTTTATTTTAATTTTTCTTTTATTTTTTCATTTTTCAATTTTATTTTACCCTGCTACGAATATATTTTTTGTATATACATGTTTGTTCAATAATGGAAAATGAAAAAAAAATCAAAAAATCAAAAAATTGGAAATCATAAAAAATAAAAGAAAAAAAAAAGAAAAAAAAGAAGAGAATGGACTAAAGTTGGACTGTGACTCTCGTACTGTGAATGGGTTGTGACCCTTTTGTTGAGGAGGATGGGAAAAATCTTTGAATGGAGTATGGGTATAGTTTGTTGAGTAAAAGGAGAATTGGCAAACTTAATTATGGATTTTGGTTATGGGTTGTGTCCCTTTTTCTTGCCTAGTTGAATGAAGTTTGAGACTTTAAATTGATTGATTTATGAATGTTTAAAATTGATTCTGATTGATTGTATATATGCATTATATGTTGCCTTTGTTGAAATTTTTTTGTGGAATGCATATTTTAAGGGGAACTAATGCCGAAATTTTGCAAAATAGACTTTGATTTTGGTTTTAAATTATTTAAATGGCACTTGGGTATTTTTGTGAAATTAAATTGAAGTGAGAATTGGAAAAGAGCTTTAAAGTTAAATGTTGGAGTTGAACTGAAAACTAAAAATTTTTGGAAATTGTTTTAAGATTCTAACTTGTGATGGAATTTGGAATTTAATTGTCATAAAAATGGAAATGGTTGATGATTGTCAAAATGGTTTTGATTTTGAAAGAATTGAATCAAATATGGAAACGTTTTAAATTTGAAAAATTTCTTGAAATTTGGAAGTTTCAAAATGGCATTTGAATTTGAATACGGATGAGCAAGATTTCCAACTTGTTTCATTTGTTCGTATTGACTATGAAAATGCGTGGATGTTGTTCTAAATTCATGAAAGTATGACTTGAGTTTGAAACTTGTATAAAGAAGTCTTCAAATGGAAAAGTCATGTCTAAATGCATAAATGTGATTTCAAATGGAACTTTTGAAAGTTTTTGAGCTTAAATTGATTCTTGCTCATGATTAAGGTGCATTGTTTGGCAAAATGATTCTTGAATGCATAAAATGACTTTGTGATCACACTTTTTGGTTTCCAAAATGTAAAAAGAAATTTGTGAACTTTGTTTTGAAAATGTGAAGTCGAGTTGTTTAATTCATTCTTTTGTTGAATATTCAATGCATGATTTTTGTTATGAAGCTCATTTACATTGCAAGTGAATGTTTGGACTTCAAAGTTTTCAAAAATTCCAAATTTGACCCAAAAGTGTTAAAAATTTCCCAAGTTGACCAAAATGCCCTTAAATGAGTTGAAATTTGTTTCATTTGTTTTCTTTCCATCCAAATGCATCTGCTAAATGCTATTGAACTTGTTTATGCTAAATTCTTGATTCTTGCCATGCTAGGGCATAAGTTTGATATATTTTGACTCCATTTGTCATGATTTTGAACTTTTTAAAAAAATGTGTTGAAATTAACCGTCTAAACCAAACTTTTTGAAGTCAAAGGGGTCTAATGTTGTTCTGTAAACTTGAAACTTGTCAAATGTGATCTTCTTGAATAATTTTGTTCATTTTTGAATAATTTGCAACTTGTTGCTTGTATATACACATTTTGCACAGTTTTTCACATTAATGGTTTTTGAAAGTTTGTGTGCATCTTTTGAATAAATCTTTTTGGCATTGATCTTTGAATAAGTTTGGAGGAGGGAAATGAATGTTTGGAGTTCAAAATGCATATTTGGGATGTCATTGTTGTTTTTGGGACTTAGTACCTATTTGTGAGCTTAAGTTGAATATTTAAAATGTCATTTGAAGTAAGTTTGGGGGTATGTTGCCTTGTCTTGGAATGTTGATCTTTAAAATGCCATTTGTTTGATTCTACATATTTGTGATCCATTTATAAAAAGCTAATAAAGGCTTGAGACCTAGGTTAATTGCAAGTCATGATTTTGATTCAAAATTGGTAAGTTTCTTGTTATTTTCAGTCTTTGATCATTCTTTGCTTCATTTAAGCTTTAAAGGGGGTCGTGGCCATAAGCGATCAATTTTTCTGCTTATATCTTGCTTAGAGATGGGTCACGAGCCATGAGTAATGATAAGATGTTTATTTTATTGAAATGGAGTACGGGATATTCCTGTGACTGGAGTTTGACTTTGATATTTGTGCATCATTCATATACATGACATATAGGTGCATACCATGTCCAGGATTCATTTTTGAACTTGTTTATCATAACATGCCCAGAATTGAAATATTTTGCAACCATGTAATTCACTTAGTCTTTATTTCATGATATACATGTTTCTTGAGTTCTAGGTAGACAGTTGGCATGTTTACATTCTCCATGTCATCCTACTTGCTGCATTAGTCTTAATTGTTGAATTTGTAGACATTCTTGCTTAGGAATTGATACGATGTCATTTTAGGGTCTACTTGTCATAAAATTACAAAATTTTCTTGTGTTTTAGGTTTGTGAATGCACATTGCATACTTATGCACATAACATCCTATACTTGTCATTTTGATCTCATTGTTTACTTAAATGTTTCCAAAAAGTGACTTTTTTTGCCCTCTATGCTATCATTGCATTGTTTTGCTTATCTGAGACTCCTTATTGTGCTATTATCTATTCTTGACTTGTTGAAGCATGTTGAATGATATTCTTGAAGCTTTCTTGATCACTTCTTGCGCAAGCATGATCCTTTATGTCTATTTTCTGTTTCTACTTGATTCAGGCATGCTTTGTGTTTTCTTATCAGATGTTTACTTCATTTTATACTTGTGCACTAATTTATAGTTGTTGCTTTTACAGATGTAGCATAGACAAAAGACTCTTGCCAAAAAAAAGAGTAGCCAGAGCTACACAACTTCCTCTATCTTCAGCAGAGGAGCCATCTTCATTGTTTGAGGCTACTGCATCTGCATTTGCATCTTTAAAGCCATATTTCATGGAGGCTCAAGGTCCCATTGTCAGGGGAGTGCCTATTCTTTATTTCTCTGGTAGGAAATTAGAGCCAAAATTTAGATTTGACAGGGAGTTGTTTGCTGGGTCAGAGCAGACAGAGTGGTCATTTGCAGAGCTCAGTCGTAGGGGCATATATGCTGTCATGACTTTGGCAGATATTACAATTTATCCCCAGTTGGTTGCCTTATTTTTCCAGCACCTCCGAATGGAAGAGGATGGCCGCCAGTTGATGCATACAACCATAAATGGTCAAGACATTGATATTTCTATCCCTGCCATTACTGCCGCCTGCCGTTGTCCCCATCTCTCACCAATGGTCGCTGACTCTGAGGATCCACTTTATTTGATCATTCCATCTTACCCTACTGAGATGACCATGGTTGTTACACTCTCTTTACAGGCTACCTACGAAGACAATATATTTACAGACCGGGTTGATATTGATCCCCATTACTGGTTCTTGGATTTTGTACTGCACCTCTATGCCTTTCCTTCTGGCCATGGTATAAAGAGGCGAAAGGGGATTCTGAATGCCCAATACAGTTTAAGTCAGGGCTGCTAGATATCCATTCCTACTCTCATCTGGGAGATCATCCACAAGTATTGGGAAAATATAATCTTCGAGCACAATTTCAAAGCCGATACTTGGCCTTTACCATTTAGCCATTTGATTACACACCTATTGATTGACCAGGGCTATTCATTTAACCTAGGCCTATAGAGCAAAGAGAGAAGAGGGTGTATGACAAGAAGCAATGGACCAAGACTGTGAAGACTTGCATTTTTATCATTTTCCGGACATGTTGGCATTCATGCATTTTATTTTATTTTATTGTCGAAAATTATGATTTATTTTGCAAATGTGTTTAATTTAAATTAAATTTCATTTGTTTATTTCATAAAGTGCATTATGGACTTTTTGTTTTACAAATGGTATATATGGTGTTTAATTATTTTATAAAGGGCAAAGGTGACTTTTATTAGGCAAATGGCATAATTGACGTTTAGAAATAATGGGAGGACTTTTTGGTCATTTTGCTTGGTCTTGCATTTGACTAATTGTGAGCATGACACATGGAGGTTCACATGGCCATATATTGTGTGTGTGTGATGACTTGTGTATAGCATTGAGGGAGATAGACATAAAAACAATTCAGCAGAAACCAATTTTGTGCATTTGGCTTCTTCTTTATAGTCACTTTTATATTGCTCCATTTGAGGTCTTTGTGTTAGGAATTTGAGAGGGGTGTGTGAATGAAAAAGGTTCCTAAGGGAGAGAGAGAGCTTCCTTGTGGTTAAGAGTTGTGCACAGTTTATTAATTCTGGGTTGTCAAAAAGGGTGTTGAAAGAAGAGGTGAGGGTGTATTTTATGAAGGAAAGTGTTCTTCACCTTCTAGTTGCTGATTTTGATCCATTTTTGGTGTGGTTTTGAACCTTGAGGTAAGATTGTCTAACCCTCAATTCATTTGCCTTTAGTGAGTTAATCTCTTTAAATTTTTGAGTTGCAAAGCTTATGCAAACAAAATTGAAATTCTGTGATGCTGAAATTGTTAGGTTGAATTACGTGCAACTGTTTTGCTCAAATTGATGTAAATTCGTAATTGATCTTTCAGAGATGATTTGGTGTTATGATAATATAGTTAATTAGCTTTCATTGAGAATTGGTTTCACTTAAATTGGTTGAGAAATGAATTTATTATGAATTTTTAAAGTTAGAGTGTTCTTGTTGGAAATTCTGGGTTGGGGCAGTTTCTGTTCGAGTTTTTCTTATCAAACCTGTTTTAGATGGTATGGTATTTTGATGAAATAAAATTTTATCTTAAAAATATAGTCTTTGAACTTTATTTCTCTTCACTCTAAGGCAACCAGTTCCTTTTAGGGCGACACATACCTGCTAGGTTTTGTAACCTGTAAGGGGAGACTTCACCATGGAGGAGGGTCAATCCTCCTCCCCAATACCTCCGGCAATAGTTCCAAGCCGGAACCCTAACCCCAGTAAACCTAAATATAGTAGTTTTTTCGATGAATCCCAAGCTTCTTTTAAGAACCTGCAATATCATCCAGAATGCCGAGGCACCAAGGTTTCCATCACGAATGAAGATGTGGCTGAGGAAGTGGCATATTGGCGATCATCTGTTATTGGATATGTCATGGGAAAAAAATCGTACTATCCATATTTTAAAAATTTTGTGGAGAAATACTGGTCCAAAGATTTCACTTTAGTTTATCTTAAGGATGGATTTTTTATGGTGCAATTCAAGACTGATGATGATGTTCAGAAAGTGCTATCCAGGATACATACATTTGAAGGATGGCCAATTGAGCTGGAGAATGAAGAAAAAGGTGAATTGAAATCACAAAAAGCTACTAGTGAAGAGATTATAAGATCTTCTGATAAGGAGCAAGATAATTTAGAGGGGCTGGAAGATATAAGGGACAATGTAGCTATTGATAAGGGAACTACGAATAAAGAGCAATGTAATAAATTGGTTAGCAGTGGGGCTATTGAAATTGATTCTCAAGGAGGGGGTAAATCAAGACCAAGAAAGAAGCCTTTTATCCCACATTCAGACAGACTGACCAGAGGTAAACTTGTTGGCAGTGGTGTTGGTATTTATATGCCCTGGCATAGCAAATTCCTATTTTGATTAAAGTGACATAAGTTCCTGACGTTTCTGAAATATTTATGTTTTATACAATTGGTGAATTTAACGTATTATGTTTTGATTCATTATAGAATTGATAGTATCCACTTGATTATAAGAGATATTTATATATGTATGTGATGGCGATCAATACATGAATATAAATAGTAATCATAAATGGTTCATAGTCGGTAATTATAGATGGACTCATAATTGATTAAGACTTGAACTGGATCCACGTTAGGTTGAGATATATTGCGAGAGCCGTCGTATGCAATTGCTCCCTATCACCGTTATAGTATTTGACTCTTAAGCATGAGAAAATTATAGACTCTTTTATTAATTAATAATTACTTTGATTTGTTCGGCGGATTCTTCGGGATCCTTAGACCGACATTTTGGGTAGTTATGTAATTAATAGTTAGAGGATTATATTTTCAATATTTGCATCATTGCTACTTGTATTTATTTTGTATTGATTATGGTTGATCACAAAGTAAATTCGAAGGCCTTCGTATATTTTTAGACAAAATGATTTATTATATATATATTTATTTAAATTATTATTTTTGTCAAACAAATGTTTTATTGTGATCAAGACAAATAATCAATGGTACTAAAATAAATATATTAATTAAGTAGTCGGATTGATGACTTTATTTATCCGATAACTAATTATGCATAGAGGGGTCAAAGTGCAATATTGACTTAGAGGTTATTTATTATTTAATTGGAGTTCAATTAATTTCTTTTAGTGGAGTAGAAATTAATTTATGAATTAATTGAATTGGGTACATGGACCGGACCAATTATTAATTCATTGTAGCCAATAAAATAATAGGCCCAATGGATTCTCACTCATAGCCCAACTTGATATTAGAATTATATTAGATTTGAAACATGTGAATTAGAGATTGAGAAGGATTAGTTGTTTCCTTTTCTTTACCTTTATGTTGCCTATAAATATACATGGTCTATATATATTTTAGGGGTGATTTATGGAAGAAGGAAAAATGAATCTATTTTCTCTCTAGAGAAAATTAGGGTTTATGTTCTCATCTAATGGAGGCTCCCACAAACCTATTTTTCCAAGGTCATTCATAGAGGCATATGAGTGATTCCTAAAGGTAAAACAATTACCAAGAAGATGGAGATTCAAGGAAAAGGCATCTTGCTAAGGGATTTACAATAAGTGAGAACATTAACTTTAGAGGAAAGTTTTAAAGGTTTACTCAGACTTTTGATGTAAGTATTCAATTTGTTAATTGAATGGTACATCATATTTTATTTTTGCATAAAACTTGTCTCTATGTGATGAATCAAGATCTATGAATCAAAATCACTCGAAAAGTTTTTAAAACTAGCACGTTTCCCAATAGTGGTATCAAAGCCATGGTTTGATTCATTACTAGAGATCATATTTTTATCAAAATCATCATTCATGGATCCAAAATTATATTCATATATATTTTTATTAATGTATGTTGATGTATGATTTAATATGTTGATATATATTGATAGGTGACGATGTATGTATAATTGTGAATGAATGATAATGTATGGTTGGGCTATGGATGAAGCTTATAGGTTAAATAAATGTAATTTTATCTTTGGATGAATGTAATTAATGTTTTGATTTAGCCGTTTGAAAGTTCAATGATGTAATTTAATTTTTTTCATTGTATTTCAAATTGTAAATATTTTTAAAGCTATGTAATATTCATTAAAGGATGCTATGAAGTTTCAAGAAGGTCCAAGAGGGTTAAATTAGGCTTAAGAAATTTTCTGGGAATTTTTATTATTTTTTGGCGATTTTCCGGCGACTGGAGTGTCACCGGCGGCAAGATCAGCACCGAAAATTGGCCGGCCGATCCGGTGTGACACGATGCACCAGCATGTGGTGCACCCGCATCAACAGCCGCATGATCAGATCAAAGAAAGGGGGAATAATCCCATGTAGCAGCAAGGAGTTACACCTGGCGCGTGAGGAACACGCGCCAGGAGTAGAAGGCTTGCTAGCGCGTGGAGAACACGCGCCAGCATGGGGCATCTATCATCCACGCGTGTGGAGGCACGTCCCACGCGCCGGAGCACCTTCCAGGCGCGTGGGAGCGCGTGCCACACGCCTAATGCTTTTCCCAGCCTGTGCAAGCGCGTGGGGATGAGGTGCAGCTTCCTGAGGCGCGTGCCAGCACGTGTGGGGACCTTCGGGTGCGTTCCAAGGACTGTTTTGCTTCTCCAAGCTTGTACTAGCTCCTTAAAGGTGTTTACAAGTCGGTGGTGGACCCTCGCGCAATACTTAGAGTAATTAAATGTTAAAAGCTAATTCCATTGGCCGTTTTTATTTGTTTTATCTGTCATTTATTGATGTATGTGATGCATATAATAGATAATTGTTGATTAATTATTATTCATGCATTGGATCTATGATATTTAATTAAATGACTTGATTTATATTAATTAAATTATGAAAATTAAGTGGATCTGATTACTAATTAATTTGAGGGCACTTATTGGGAAACGAAAAATTATTTTTAAAGTGTGCTTCAAATTAAATATTAGTGAATCATTTAAAGTCCAAATATTTTTTAAATTTAATTGGATTAAAATCAAGACGTTTAGCATGCATTATATCATGTATTTGAATAAATTAAAAACCCTAATTATAAATGATTAAAAAAAATTGAGTGGGAGCGGGGATTTTTATACATTGCCCCATGGCCTTCGTTATTAACACCATTGTAATTAGATCTTCAAAAATAAGGCCCCATGCATGATTTGAAGAGTCTTAATATTACAAGAATGGTTGTCTCATGAAAATAAAAATATTAAATGTTCATTGTAATTAGATCTTTAAAAATAAGGCCCTACACATGATTTAAAGAGTCTAGATTATAATGATAAGATATTTAATGTTTTATTTTTCATTAGAGTTTTAATAACGTTATACACTCAATCTAAAATCAATAGTGTTAGCTCCCCAACGGAGTGGTCTATACTAGGTGATTTTAGAAAGGCTAAACATAATCGAGAATCATTTCATATAGATAGACAAGGCATTGTCTTAAGAGATATGGAGATGATGGGATTTGCTCGCCCATAGCAATAATGAACTTCGTCAACCGAATAAGTTATTGGCGTATTGGTTATCGATTTTTCATGCAGTGGTTAAGGGACCCACATATTATTATTTTAATGGAAGTGCTCACCTAATAGCAAATGAATCTCTACAATAATAATAATGAACTCCTCCAACAGGATAAGTTATTGACAAATTGATTATAGTTAATTTATTATGCTACAGGGTTGCGGGACCCGCATTAATTAAAAGGGATTGTTCACCAATAATGATAATGATCTCTTATTCAATTGAGATTTATTATATTATGTGGCTAACAAACTCATTTTAATTTTAAATATGCATGATAGTATTAATAATTCATCTTGCATATTGAATGAATGCATTTATATTCAGATTAATTATGTCTAATCCATTTTATCTGCTTGCTTATATATTCTATGATATTGGACCTCATTTATAATGACTTGAAAAGGAACTTAGATATTTTATTCACAACGTAAGGGTACAAAATGTATTTAATACTCCTATACCTAATTCATTTACTTTAAGATACTTAATGAGATGTTTTAGTGAGATTAGATAGGGCGTATGCCTACGTACTATGTCAGACTTGAACATCATCAAGATAGCCTAAGGAACTCCAATATGAAATTGTATTTTGAAAATGATTGTTTATTATTTAAAAATTAGCTGGAGATCAATATGGTTGAATTGGGTGGTAAGTTTCAAGTTGACATGATTATTGCCTTGTTACTAAACTGGTTTGGTTCTTTCAGAGTAAACTAAATAAGGAATCAGTTTGAGTTCACACTCGCTGATATTCTTATAGAATTGGTAATAGATGAAGGGATAATCAAAAGTATAGGCGTTCCTATCAATCTAACCTAGTCTATACCATCTTCTTCTAGGCCCAAGTGGAAGGGCAAAGCAAAGAAGAAGGATGATAATAGGACTAGGCTAGCACAAAACATAGGTATCCAAGAGGCTAAAGGGAATAAGGCAGTGAATGTTGAGGGCAAAGGAAATTGCTTCTTTTGTCGCTAACTAAGACACTCAAGGATGAACTGTCTAAGCAATGACGTGGCATAGGAAAGTATATATTTAATCATTGAGCCATGTTTTGTGGTTGTATCTATTAATTCCTGATGGATAGATTTTGGAGCCACTAAACATGTTTGTAATTCGTTGTAAGGATTTTAGGAATCCAGAAGCCTCGATGATATGGAATATATTTGTACTTGACTTGATGTCAAGGTTGTAGCTAAGTCAGTGGGAGTATTACATCTAAAATTAGAGAGTATGAGGATATTAGTATTAGAGAACTATCTTTATGCACAGAAGTTAGACGCTATCTAATTCTTGTTTCACTTGTGGTTTATAAAAACTGGATTGTTATTTTGTAAAATTGGTTTTATAAAATTGAATAGATATGCGATTACTTCTGGTGCATTAAAAGATGGTTAATATACTATAATCACAAACTCTTAAGATTTGCAGGATGTAGAAACAAATGTTGCATCTTCTAGATTGAATGTTAAGAGAAAATTTGTTATTCCTGACTCATTGTATTTTTAATGTCTATTTTTGGGTTGTTATCAATCAAAATGAGATTCAAAGATTGGTCAAAGAAGGTTTATTACCTAGTGAGGCAGAGGAGCCTAAACCAAACTTGTGAATCCTGTTTTAAAGGATAGATAACTCTAAGGGCTTAATCAGCCAGATGAAATAGACATAAAGGACAATTGGAGTCGGTACACACAGACACGTGTGGTCTTATGAACATCCAAGCAAGATTACTCACGTTTTGGATAAATTTATCTGATGCGACACGAGTCTTAAACTTTTGGTACATTCTGAAAGTGTCAAGATTGATGTAGAGCACAGATTAGGTAAGCTTATCAGAACAATCCGATCTGATCGTGGAGATGAGTATTTCTTGGGATAATGCAAAGACTATATGGTCAATAAGGGTGTGGTGTACCAGGTTTTCCGCAATTGACGCTAAATGGATTTAGGTGTCAAATAGGAATAATAGAATTCCGCTTAACATGGTTAGATCTATGATCTGTTATGCTATATTATCTCTTTCATTTAAGAGTTTAGCGTTAATGACATCGATGCGCATTATGAACTGCATTCCATCTTAGTCTATCTCAAGGATACTGTTGAGCTGTGTTTTTGACTAAATCTTAGTTTGAATCACATGCACATATGGGGTAGTCTTGCACATGTGCGCTTGATATGGACAAGTAAATTGGAAACAGATCATACGCATGATAGATTTGATAGCTACTCTAAAAGTCACTAGGACGGATTATTTTATGATCTCAATGATAAAAGTTGATTGTTTACACTCACTGTTTATCTATAGGAGAATCATATTATGAATCACATACCTTGTAGCATAATGTTAGAGAATTCGGTATGAGTACCAGATGTACCAGATGTGAACACACTTATTATAGAGATTGAGAATAATAGATGAATTCCCTATTGATGCATTAGCACCATCTAGTACACAGATTCCTGCATCGGTACATTGATGTAGTGGGAGGATTATCATCCAATCCGACAGAATCATGTTTTTAGGTGAGACCATTATGGACATCCTTGTTAAACATGAGTTGGACCCAGTAAGCTACACGAAAGCGTGAACTGATATGGATACAGATCATTTTGGCGAGTTACTATGAAATCAGAGTTGGAATCTATGTATTCTAATAAATTTTGGGATCTTGTAGAACTTTCTAGTAGGGTGATTCCTATGGAAGGCAAGTTAATCTACAATAAGATACCAGAAGATTTCTTAGTGAATTAATTATGAGTGTACAAGGGAATGTCATTATTTTTCTGATTCTATATATATTGATGACATCCTACTCATTTAGTATGATGTGGAAGTTTTGTCATCAGTAAAGAGGTAGTTGTTTAATTACTTTTAAATGAAGGATTTTCAAGATGTAAGCTATATTCCTAAGATCAAGCTTTTACAAGATCAGGTTAAAAGGAAAATAGGCTTATCTTAATAATCCTACATTGATAAAGTTTTGACCAGGTTTGGTATGCATAACTCAAAGAATGAGTTCTTGCTTTATAGATATGGATGGCTCTCTCTAGTAAGTAGTTTTTCAAGACTATCAAAGGAGATTGAGCAAATGAGACTGGAACAATATGCTTCGGCATATGAGAGTCTCATATATGCCATAGTCTATACCAAATAAGACATCTGCTACATAGTAGGGATAGTTAGTAGATATTAGTCCAATCCTGACTTAATAACTGGTTTGTTGTGAAAAATATCATTAAGTACCTAAAGAGAACCAATGGTCTCATACTTATTTATGGATGTGATGATATGGTCCTACTCAAGTATGCTAGTTCTGATTTTCAATCAGAAGTAAATACTATGAGGTTCATGACTTAGTGTATGTTCACTCAATGGAAGGGAAATCAGTTAGTAGATTGTTAAGCAGATTTTAACTGCTGACTCAAACCTGCAGGTGGAGTACATTGCAGCCTTAATGGCGGCAAAGGAAGCCTTTTGGTTTGATCTCACTAATTTTAGAGGTTGTGGAGCATACTAGTCTGCCTATCGAGCTATATTGCGATAATAGTGCAGAAGTAGTCCAAACCAATGACCCAAGGTTCCATAGAGGAACAAGATACACTGAGAGGAAGTATCATGTTCTACATGATATTGTCCGGCAAGAAAGTGTACTTGTGGCTAGAACATTGCATTGGAACACAACTTTGTTGATCTATTAACAAAGGTGTTATTGATTAATAATTTTGATCATCATCTGGATAACATTGGAGTTAGATGTAATTTGAATTGGCTACGAGGGCAAGTGGGAGCTGTTGGTATTTATATGCCCTAACATAGCAAATTCCTATTTGGATTAAAGTGATATAAGTTCCTGACGTTTCTGAAATATTTATGTTTTATACAATTGGTGAATTCAATGTATTATGTTTCGATTCATTATAGAATTGATAGTGTCCACTTGATTACAAGAGATATTTATATATGTATGTGATGGCGATCAATACATGAATATAAATAGTAATCATAAACGGTTCATAGTCGGTAATTATGGATGGACTCATAATTGATTAAGACTTGAACTGGATCCGCGTTAGGTTGAGATATATTGCGAGAGCCGTCATATGCAATTGCTCCCTATTACCATCATAGCATTTAACTCTTAAGCTTGAGAAAATTATAGACTCTTTTATTAATTAATAATTACTTTGATTTGTTCGGCGGATTCTTTGGGATCCTTAGACCGATACTTTGGGTAGTTATGTAATTAATAGTTAGAGGGTTATATTTTCAATATTTGCATCATTGCTACTTGTATTTATTTTGTATTGATTATGGTTGATCACAAAGTAAATTCGAAGGCCTTTGTATGTTTTTAGACAAAATGATTTATTATATATTTATTTATTTAAATTATTATTTTTGTCAAACAAATGTTTTATTGTGATCGAGACAGAAATAATTAATGGTACTAAAATAAATATATTAATTAAGTAGTCGGATTGATGGCTTTATTTATCCGATAACTAATTATGCATAGAGGGGTCAAAGTGCAATATTGACTTAGAGGTTATTTATTATTTAATTGGAGTTCAATTAATTTCTTTTAGTGGAGTAGAAATTAATTTATGAATTAATTGAATTGGGTCCATGGACCGGGTCAATTATTAATTCATTGTAGCCAATAAAATAATAGGCTCAATGGATTCTCACTCATAACCCAACTTGATATTGGAATTATATTAGATTTGAGACATGTGAATTAAAGATTGAGAATGATTAGTTGTTTCCTTTTCTTTATCTTTATATTGCCTATAAATATACATGGTCTATGTATATTTTAGGGGTGATTTATGGAAGAAGGAAAAATGAATCTATTTTCTCTCTCTAGAAAATTAGGGTTTATGTTCTCATCTAATGGAGGCTCCCACAAACCTATTTTTCCAAGGTCATTCATAGAGGTATATGAGTGATTCCTAAAGGTAAAACAATTACCAAGAAGATGGAGATTCAAGGAAAATGCATCTTGCTAAGGGATATACAATAAGTGAGAACATTAACTTTAGAGGAAAGTTTTAAAGGTTTACTTAGACTTTTGATGTAAGTATTCAATCTGTTAATTGAATGGTACATCATATTTTATTTTTGCATAAAACTTGTTTCTATGTGATGAATTAAGATCTATGAATCAAAATCCCTCAAAAAGTTTTTAAAACTAGCACGTTTCCCTACAAGTGGATCACTGCCATTTTCTTTAGAATTATAGGGGCTTGGAATATGAGAGGTCTCAACTGACCTCTCATGCAAAAGGAAGTAAAGCAATGGATTATAGATCAAAAGTTTGCTTTAGCTATCCTTGAGGAAACTAGGGTTAAGGAAGGAAAAGCTCAAAGAATTCAAAGTAAAATCAGAAATAATAGGAAGTGGTTGGCTAATTACAGGTCAAGCTATTTAGGAAAAATCTGGGTTGGTTGGAATGGCACTGTATTTGATGTCAAGTTGCTGAAAGAGGATGCACAATCTATGTTATTACAAGTGAAGCATATCCAATCAGGTATTATTGTCTGTATTACTGTTATATATGCTACTAATAAAGTAGGTGAAAGAAGGGAGTTGTGGAAATCTCTTAAAGAACAAACTCTTACTGTTAAGGATCCTTGGATAGCTCTGGGAGATTGGAATATTGTGAGGTATAATTATGAGAAGAAAGGTGGGCTGAGAATTCCCCAAGCAAGGTTGGATGAATTTAATAGTCTCATCTATGACCTGCAGATGGATGATATCCCTATTAATAATGGGGATTGGTCTTGGTGCAATAAACAAAATTGTCAAGCTAGAATCAATGCTAAACTTGACAGAGTATTGACAAATGTTTTATGGCCGCAAAAGTTCAATGATACCAAGGTGTATTTAACTGCTGCATCTTTGTTTGATCACTATGGTATAGTTGTAAAGTGGCATTTAAATTGTTCAGAAGGACCAAAACCTTTTAAATTTCTGAAAATCTGGTGTCTACAACAAGAGATGGTTAATGTTGTGACTACAGCTTGGGAAGTTATTGGTTCAGGTAATCCTATTCATATTCTTCAACAGAAATTGAGGGCTGTTAAGGCTGCTGTCAAAGAGTGGAATAAAGTCAGAGGTTTTGTCTCAGATCAAATTCAAGAAGTCAGAGATCATTTGCACCAAATTCAAATGGAACTTCTTCAAGATCCTACACTGCAAGATAACATAAACAAAGAAAGGGAGGCTAGTGGAAAACTTCAGCAGACTCTTGAACTTGAAGAAATTATGTGGGCTAAAAATCCAGGGTAAAATGGATGAAGGAAGGGGATAAATGCACTTCATATTTTCACAATATTGTTAAGCAAAGAAGAGGGTTAAATGCCATTACTCAATTGGAAAATGTGAATGGTGAAGTTTCTTTAGATCCTAAGATTATCAAAGATTGGTTGGTGCAATATTACACAGATTTGTACACACAAACAGAGGGTTTATCGCAGGAGTCAATTCCACCTAGGAATTTTTTGAATCAAGAAGAATGTTGTCTTCTTGATTGTGATGTCTCTGCTGAAGAAATCAAGGGTGTGGTGATGCGATTTAATCCAGATAAAGCTCCAGGACAGAACGGATTCCCTACTAGATTTTTTCAAAAATTTTGGGGAGTGGTTGGGGCTGATGTCATTAAGGCAGCGTTGTTTTTCTTTTCTGCTAGCCAGCTTCCTCAAGGTATCAATTCCACCTTTCTCTCTTTGATCCTAAAACTGAACCATGGAGTTAAAATTACCAATTATAGGCCAATAGCTCTATGTAATCTGGTTTACAAAATTATTTCTAAGATTCTAGTCAATAGGTTAAGTGTTGTTCTGCCTAAACTGATTGGAAATGAACAAACTGCATTTATCAAAAATAGAAGGCTTCATGATAATATCTTGTTAGTTTCTGATTTGGTAAAGGATTTTGGTAAGAAAAATGGTGCTACTAATATGACTTTGAAGATCGATCTAAAGAAGGCCTATGAGTCAGTGGACTGGGGTTTCATCTTATCAAGGTTACAGCTACATGGATTTGGTGGGAAATGGATTCAATGGATCCATGCTTGTATATCCTCTCCTAAATTTTCTGTTTTATGTAATGGTGTCCCTGCTGGATATTTTTCTGCTACTAAAGGGCTTAGACAGGGTTGTCATTTGTCTCCATTGTTGTTTTCCTTTGTAACTGAATATTTCAGCACTCTTATGAACAACTATATTGACATGGGAAGGATCAAACTATGTAAGGAAGTGGTGAGTTCAGGGCTGCAGATTTCTCATGTTTTCTATGCTGATGATCTTATTTTGGTGGTCAAGGCTGAGATTTCTACAGCTAAAGCAGTGGATGAAGTTTTTAAAAAATTCAAAGATGTTACTGGACTTCAGGTTAACAAAGACAAGAGTTCTATAATTTTCTCCAAGTCTGTGAGGGGTAAAAGAAGATTGTCTTCCATCTTACAATTCCAAGCTGAATCATTTCCTTTCAAATATCTAGGACTACCTTTGTCTAATCACAAGTTGAGAGCTAGAGATTTCAGAAGCTTGCTGGATAAAGTGAATAATCGACTTGCTCACTGGAACACTATTAATTTGTCATTGGCAGGTAGGATTGAATTGATTAAATCAGTGTTATATTCTTATCTATATCATTGGGTATTTGGATTTAAGATTCCTTGGGGGATAAAAGTTCAATTAGAGAGAAGATTGAAATTATTTCTTTGGAGTGGTAAGCAAGATGTTAAAAAATTGTCTCAAGTGAAATGGAGTCAAATTACATTACCTGTGGATGAGGGAGGTTTTAATATTAGACAAATTCAGGATATTGACAAAGCTGCAAAGATTACTTTGTGCTGGGATTTTTTGCAAAAAAAAGATAAATTTTGGATTCAATGGTTACAGGCAGTATATTTACGAAGATCTTCTTTTTGGAATGTGAGTCCGTGGTTCGGGGATTCTCCAATTTGGAAACAGATTTTAGAAGTTAGATAGTTGGTTCTGGATAATGTTGAATTCAAGGTTGGGGATGGTTTGAAGTTCAAATTGTTGACAGATCCTTGGTGTGGAAATTTAACTTTAATTCAGTAGTTTGGAGCTACTTTGTTTAGGCAAATTGATAGAACATAATGTGTTGCTGCTTTCATTGCAAATGGGACATGGGCTATACTTACTGATTTTTTTGTTGAGGTGAGGAACTTCATTTAAAATTTTGTTATTAAGGTTGGAGAAGATTCAATTGTATGGAAACATGGTTTGTTTTCATTGAAGGCTGCTTGGGAGATATGTAGATCAAGAAAGCAACCTGTGATCTGGAGTAGATTAATTTGGAAGCATTGCGGACCAAGGATTGCAGTTGGGGTTTGTATCATCCTACATAATAAGAATTTATCCTTTGTCAATCTTCAGAAACGAGGAATCATGGTAACTGCCATTTGCCATAATTGTTTTGGTAATTTGGATACCAATAATCATTTATTCTGCACCTGTGTGTATGCTAAAGAAGTTTGGAGTAATATGTTCAACATTCTTTAATTGGAATATAATGGTTTTCAGTCAATGGATCAATTGGTCGAATGGTTTGTGTTGCAAACTGGTGTTAAATCAATGAAGTCCAAGATCTTGTGTGCTGTTTTTTCAATAACTATTTGGAAAATTTGGTCTATGCGCAACTCTACTCTTCATTATGGCTGCAAAGATAGTGCTAATTTTGTTGTGCAATCTATTATTTGGGATGTTCTAACTTTCCTCAATATTAGATTAGAGGATCTTTTGATTGTATTTTCTTCCTCTTTATGAAGTTTTTGTTGATTTTTAGCATCTATTGGAAATGGGCTTATTCTAGCTCTTGAGTTTGTCAAAAGGAGGTATACCTCCTTTCAATTATTGTAACGTATATTCTTATTTATACAATCCCCCTATTCAGGAAGAAAAAACAAATAGTCTTTGAACTTTCAGTGGCCTTTGGATTCACTCAATTTGGACGAAAATTGAATTTACTATGAATTTTTGAAGAATGAAGCTACAGACTGGAAATTAGTGTCTGACAGATTTTTATTTCGAAATTGTGGATTAAAACTGTTCCAATTGGGAAGGGATTTTGTTAAACTAAATTGACACTCTCAAAGTACATTGTTTAAGCTATCATTAGGCTTTGGAATCACGCAATTTGACTTATAATTGAATTTGTTATGAATTTTTGAAGATGGAAGTAACATACTGCATGTGAACTGTTTACTGTTTAAAAACTTCGGAACATGACACAAATGTGCATTCATCTTGCATGGTCATGGGGTTAAGGTTAGAATGGAAAAAAGGAAGTGAAAGTTCAGTAAATGATTTTGAAAACCGGATAACAGGGAGGTGCCTTGTATCCGTGAGTTAGGAAAGTGGGATTGATTCAATGATTTCAAAACCGGACAAGGAGTTGCCTTGTCTGTGCAGTTAATGGGAATCTAGAGAAGACGTAAGAGTTGCCTACGCGTAATTGTGTCACTAGGCCCCAAATGATTACAAGGAGTTGCCTTGGATCAGGGATAGATGATCAATTTTCTTCTCGTGGTACAGGGAGCAGCTCTGGCCGGATTACATTAACTTTTTGAGATGGAAATTGGATTTTGGGAAGTGAGAAGTGTCAGTGGCATTAGCATTAGCATCCGCATTGCATGGCACTTCATTTTATTATCCTATATGACATTATTTTTTTTCCGGAGTTTATATGATTCCATTATCCTTTATCTATTCTTTATTTGGATTCACGGAGGTATTAAGGAGTGCGCTTTAGGCAATTCTTGCTGAGTTGTGGTTGCTCATTCCTATTTTATTCAAATCTTTTCAGGTCATAGCATGGATGGTGTGGAGGGTGTTCCTTCTCAGCTATAGACAGAGTCGGGGCTGGTATTGTTGTGTTATATTTCGCATAATAGTTTATGTTTTGTCTTATATTTCTTTAGAATATTTCTGGCATGTAATAAGTGTTATTTCGGACTTTAAAAACTTTGATGTTGTAATATTTGCATCTTACGGTCTAGGGGCGTGACAAAGACTTTCAATGCTTGCTCAAAGGAGGAGGCAGCCGAGGGATTCTATGGATCACCTTTTTCATACAGACCCAAACAAAGGCAGCGTACTACTACTTCCACATCTACATCATAGCAGGGTGCACCTTTTCCTCCCTATCCATCCCAGCAGGTTGGCCCATCATATGTTCCTCCTTTAGAGCCGATGCCCCAGGCCGACATTCGCTCCCATCATACCAGTTCATATTCCGGCCACCAAGCTGACCTAACTCAGCTGCATTTCGATTTTACTTCTTTCAGAGCTAGCATGATAGTGCGGCACGATGATTTGGCGAGGTGGCATGATGACTTAGCCAGGTGATCTGACAATCTGACGGGAGCTGTAGCGGATATGAGGGAGACATTTCAAATTTGCGAACAAACATTCAGAAGTCTCTCACTCGACATAGCTGGGAGATGTTAGACATGCTACAGATCATTGCCGATATGCTTGAACTGGATGCTGCACCATGATTCCACCATTCTCTCTATCTCTATTACTCATTCCTTGCCCTGATACATTTTTGCTACACTGATATTTCTGGGATTTTTGCACTGTTTTCAGATATTTACATTGATATTTTTGGATATTATTTTGCACTACACTAGATACACATGGTTTTGGATATTGGTTTTGGATTTATTTGCATCTATAGATTTTTGGGATTTTGACATTATTGATTTTGGTTTTGGATATTCCGAGATTTATATTGCTATATGCCATGGATTTATGCCCAGTTCTCCGTTCCACCTCTTATTTACATCATTGATGCATATGTTTTAACAATTACTAGTGTGACCACTTTCAGACAGGTTTTTAGAATCTAAGTTTGGGGGTGTTCCTTCTAATGCTAAGCTTCCGTTGCCAGGTCCTATTTGCTACACCCATTTGGTATACTCTTTCCATTATTTGTTGCCATTTTTGTACATTAAGGATAATGCACAGATTAAGTTTGGGGGTGAGTTAGCATATTTTGACATGTCGCACTTAGTTTCTATGCATGCGGTATGATTTGAGAGTTTTAGCTATGATTTTGATATTTTAAGGACCATGATACTTAGAATTTAAAAATTACTTGACTTGAGAGTCTAATACTCCTTGTATGCCTTGTGGATGCCATTTAGGAGTAATTTTTTTGAAAGATTGATATCTTGCTTGCATTTGTGGTCCACATCATCTTGATCTTGCGATTATTTTGAGATTCAATATAGGATTCTGCACTAGCATAGG